TATATATATATATATATAACATGAAAATTAATCTTCTTGCTTGTTTTATTAATGTCTCATAATTGCCTTTCGACTAATAATGTTTTATAATTGGCATCATACCTAATAATTGGAAAAGGAAACTCCTAACTCATTAATATATCATTTTCAGGATTTACATAACACTGAACAAGTAGTTCAACGTGTATATGACTTAGTGATGACTCATCAGATCATGTCCCCGCAATTCAGTACTCTCCTTCGCTGTGAGTGCACGGCTTTCGCAAAACATGTTGAACATTTTGTCGAGTTATTGTTCGAATTTACGATTAGTAACCAGGAACTAGCTTTATTTGATCAAAATAGTGAATACGTCAGGTACTATAAGGTTATATCTTCACAAAGAGTTATCAGTTTATTTCGAAAGGTTTGAGTTAGGAAATTTTTTCTCCGTTTATGTGATATTTCTAAAGTCTCAAAAACTTTCGTATCTTCAGCCATTCTTTTCTACATATCAGAATGATTATTAAAATATTTGTAGTAGAAGAGAATATCGGCGAAGACTGTCTAATATGAATTTTGTGCCTCTCAGCAATGATATGGATGAGGAGGAGATTTCAGTGAGTTTCTGAATGTTTTACTTTATTCTTTATAGTTTAATAATCGATTTTGTCAGATCGTTTCTTGATATTTTTCGTTTTGGGCTTGTGAGTAATGAGCAAATATTATATTTGGATATTGGCTGACTGTATGTATTCAGTTTGTACAGGAAACAGTATATTCTGTTATTTCAGATGGAGGATGAAAATTATTTTCCAATGAATAATCGGTAAGTTTTCTATTACGATTTTGTTTTCTAGCTAACCATTAATTTACAACACACGTGGTAAAAGAAAAGTGGTGTACCGGCTGAGTCTAGCATGTACTTCAAAATTATTTTAGGAATGGAAGCAGATTCACTACAGATAATAGAATTTCACCATCATACTTTCATTTCATGGCTGCTTATACAGATGCGGTATGTAGTTCTTATGTTGAACCTTGTTCCACTCAGTTTTCTGAAATTTTTTTAATGCTTGGTTTTTCATTCATTCTTGTCTATCTCTCATTGAAGCTGTAGATGGCTAAATTGAACTTTTCAAGTTTTTGTACTTTTATCGTTCAATTTCATAGCTTATGAGTCTACAACGTTTCATTCTTATTCTTGAAACAACTGATGAAACACTTTCGCAAGCTGATGAAAGGGTGTTGGTCGATACTGTGGATGTAAGCTTCATTTCGCCAATTAGAATTTGAAATTTTTTCTGTGAATGAAACAAGAAATTTGGAAGTGAATCTATTGCATTATTTTCATTTTCTCTTGTGGACACTTAGCTCAGTTATTTTTATAGGAGCTTGTCGAAACATATGCACAGCATCGACATCGAGTGCAAAATCGCGTAGGTTCTTATTTGGAATTTTTATAGTTCATGTTCAGAATATAATTTAGCGACTTCTCTATATTTTGTAAGATACTTTTTTTAAGCATGGAAATTCAAGTCAGCTGGAAAATGCAGACCGTCAGAATAGTGTAGTCATGAGTGATGCTGGAAACGAACAGGTACTGTATTTGAATTATTGTGCTTATTTGTATCACAGAGGACGCTTACCCAGATGTCAACGATTCAAGTTAAAGCGGTTGAAGAGATAACAAAGGGATTGCTTAAATTATTCATTACTTATGTGTTTATCGGTAATATTATAGAGTGGTAACAGTGAAGACAGGGTACCTGTTGCTCGTCCTGCAGATGCACGGCAGTCACGTCGACGTCCTTATCGATTGATTAATGTGGAAACGCTTGCCGAGGCCTTGACTTCAAATTCGGTATTGTCTAGAAATCCTGAGCAAAGAAGGCGCGTTTTGGATAGTTTCTTAGGTTTCGTGTTATTTTCTATTGAATTCTACTGACTTCTTGTGCTAAATATTTGTGTTCTTTCTGGAATTTTTGGAAAAGGATTAATTGAAAACTTGTTTTGCTAGCTTAAATTAGCGCGTAGATTCTCTTATTCAAAAATGAGGAATATATAAATGAAAAAGATTTTTATCTCCAGAATTTTGTGTAGAAGAAATTTCGTCAAGAAACATGTGTTTCAGTTTGGCATTAAGTAAATTTTTGGACTTGTAAAAACATTTTTCAGGTAGTTTTGACTCAATGTTGGCCGAAAATTATTTTATTGGAACAAGTGTGGCGCCTTTGCCAAGTGTATCTTCTACATCGAATGCAGTGATTGATTCAGGAGAGCTCAATACTTTAGATGGTGATGACGATGATAACGATAGTGATGATGAGGATAATGAAATAATGGTTGTAGATAGCTCATTATTGACTAGAGAAAATGGCCACGCAAGTAATAGTGGCAGCGACATTGGTATGGATGATATACCACGAAATCAATCTGATGGAGGGCATGAGAACACTAACATGTGCTAAATGGTATGTAGCAAAGAAGGGCATCTTAATAACTGTTCTCACTTCTGCACTCCACTTTTTTTCAATAATCATGTATCTTTATTCTTTTGGTATTCAAAATTCTTTTATTACTGTAATCATTGCTGATCAGCTTCAGTTATTATTATTTAGTTCATGTAAAACATGTTCTTATTGTAACAGTTTAGTAATTGTGTAGCGTATAAAACTGATATGAAACATTCGAACATTCCAAACTTTGCTTCTCGTTAAGTTATGCAATTTCAACCAGCTTTAGATTTGAGTATTGAAACCTAAGTGTATAGTATAGTTGATATATGTTTATTTATCTATATATTATTAGTTGTTGGCTTTTTGATCCATTATTCTATGTAGTATTTAATAAATGGTCATTGATTTATTGGCACCCACAGCAACCAAATTTTAATTCTAGTTTTTCAAAAAATGCTTCGAGTTTCTATGAAAAGAATGAATTCTGAAATATTTTATTGTCCACGGGAGTAACTTTGTGATAGATTATAGGATGTTTGTAATGATTTTGGTAATACACTATTGGTTTCGAATGTCATGTAAGGTTGAAGTATATTCAGCTGATATTAGATTCTATTTGAATGACTTCGTCGCAGTAATGAATTCATCTCATCTACATCATTCTAAAATGGTCTAGCTAAACTGTTGTTGCACAATACATATTTCGTCACTTCTACCTTGTCTGCAATTTGTTATCCCTTGTAGCAAAAACATGCTTCTGTTTGCTTATTTCGTTTTAACAATGTGAGAAATATTCAATTTTGCAGAAAGGTTTCTGTTGTCTACTCATGTAGATTAGATTAGAGAATTATTTTTCTAGTTGTAAGTATAGTCACATTTGTTAAATAGCAACAGCTCTTTTGAACGACATTTAATCAGCAAACCAGTTTTCCGTTCCATACTTAATTACGAGAGTATTGTTTTTGCCTTACTAGATGTAAGGAGAAGGGTGGATACAAAGTATAAAGGTCGTGTGTGCATAATTAGTTGAATTGAAAGCAGCTTGGAATGTTGAATAATAATTACGTACACAAAGTTGAGAAGTAGTACTGGTGCGTGAGAAAAAGTTAAGAAGGGGAATGAGTGTATGGCCTGTGGGTTGGCATACTGGATGAAAAGTGGCTGGGTAGAAAGCTGAAAACCGGTTGTTCTGTCAAGCAAAATAGACGAGATGTTCCTCTTTTAGCAAACATATATGGCTGGTAGTATTGTCGGAATGAAAGTAAACGAATGATTTGATGCTATTACTCATATTTGCAAGCGTAACTTTTTATGTTTTCTGCTCATACAGTACCTAAACGAGCAGGTAAAGCTTTCGGGTTTATTTTAAGCACTGAGCTAAGCTAAGATGTAAGTGGTATATCATGCTATTAAAGTGATAATAGCAAGTGTAGCAGTCTTTGATTTCTTTTTTAATCTCGATAATCACATCAAGAAAGAAAGATAATAATAAATGAATATTGATGGTGAATACCGTTCATAAAGCTGCATGCACGAAGAAATTACTTGTATATATCTGCTTACTGCAACAAGAGTATATTAATTAGTTCCTCAACAATAAGAAGCGGAGACTTAAGATTGCTTCATTGTTGACTGTAGAAATTTTAGGTGAACGATTCATTCTTCCGTATGCTCTCATGTCTAACTTCCATACAATAGCACTTCTTGAGGTACAGAAGTGGAGAAACTTTTGAAGCATTGTAGAATGAGAGAAAGAAAACAGCAAGTGTTATGATTATGTTATCATCCATCAATCTTTCCGTCAACAACATCATCACATGCTCTTTGAGCAAAATTAACTCAAGTGCTAGATTTTCTACTCATGTTTTTACGTAAATAATTCACATCATGTGTTTTTGTAACATGAGATGCATTATATTTTCATGTATTCAGTGAGATATGTACATGCATGGATGTCATTACTGATTACAATTATGTGATCTTGAGCGTACAATTTAGTCAGTTAGCACGAGTAAGTGACGTCTGCTAATTATCGCTTAGATGTTAAACATTTATGGCACAAATATTGAAATGAAAAGTAAATAATTCATTCATTCTAAGAGAGACTAACTTCAAAGACTATTTCTATTAAAGATATCGAATATAGACTCCTACAAACGATGTTATTTATGTATGGCAAGCAGTGAAATTTTGAGTTTTTTGACTTACAGATGAAGTACTTTTTATGATCAGAAGCTAACCTTGTTGTAACATCTTTCAACTGAATATATTCCACGTCAGTCCAAAAGAATGAAATAATGAATGCAAGTATTCAACATGCAATACATGAGTAGTCTGAAATTATTATGTTCTTCGATTCATTGCTGCAATGCAAGAAAGGATGAGGATGGAATCAAATTACCACATCTGATTTACTTATTTCACTTTCGCATTTCTTTTTCTACTTAATTTCTACATTCTTACGTATTGCGTTTACGAATCAGCAACAGTTTACGATTGCAAAGCGAAGCAAGAAGTACTGTCCTCTTGCTACACTCATTCATAAGCAGCAGCAGCATCAGCAGCAGCAGCAGTCTAGACCACTGCCCATTTGTGTATGCGAGAGACATACATACCTCCATAGCCTTCGCCCTTTAGCTTGACCTTACTGAACGAACTCAAGTCTACCCTACTCCTCGGTTCTGCTCACTCTCACTATTACTAATGCAACTACTCTGCAACCGTCGATACTTGCTCATGCGTCAGGCATGTTCTATTGCCCCTGCATGAGCGAATATCTTAAAGTAATGTGTGTTGATGTGCATACAGTAGTTGTCTTGTCATTCGTACATGTTTCTATATGTGTGTGCAAGCGTATCCATCCTTCCACTCTTATATTTGTATCTCTCACTTTCTAATGTATGTGTGTGTGTGTGTTCATTTGTATGTACTGCCAAATGTCTGTTATGTATGTATGTATATGTGTGTGTGTCGCAAATACGCCACATGTGCGCAGTGCAGCAATGAGCGCCATTCGTTGCAGGGAAAGTAGAAAATCGATAGTAGGCAATTGGATGCTTCGTCATCCTTCTCTTCAACAAAGCCACTATTTTGCGAGAGTGTATTACTATGCGTCAGTACTCGCAGATAGTTGTATACAGTTTACCAAAACACTTGCGTGTTCTTCTTAGTTTAGTCTAAGTGTATTCACTAACTTCATGTTCTTCTAAGGCGCACAATGATTGTGGCAATATTGCCTTTTCAGTTACCAGTAATCTTTATTACTGCATTAATACTGTATGTTTTTATTGTAATAACTGACAGCATAATATTAAAATGTTGGAAAAGTAGTAAAGGATATGTATATATGAGCAGTGCTTGACATTAATTTTTTTATTGTAGAATGAAATAGTATAGCTATTGCTTAAAGTGACCCATGCATTAGGAAGTTTCTTATTTTTGGTAGATCAAATTTCTAGTCATTATGTGATTGTTGTCCTTCATAATGGCTGAAAAGAAATTTATCAGTGTAGAGTTCCTCGCGCGTCACTTACATTAATAGTAGTTATGCAAAAAATTAGTGAAACTGTAATTTGTTTATTTTCTTTTTCAAAGTTTCATCCACGTACGTAGTCAACGATGAAGTGGGTTTATAAAGAAGAAAATCCATTTGAGAAGCGTCGAGCTGAGGGTGAAAAAATCAGACGTAAATATCCTGATCGGATACCCGTAAGCTTCTCAGCTTTGTTTCTTTTTCTAACTCACTACTTTTGCTTCCATTTATTTTCTTTTCTTTATTCAGAATAAATAAAATTTTCACTCTTCGGTTGGATTTTTTTCCACAAGTTTTGCCCAAGATTCAGACGTAATTAAGCGCTTAAAATATGTCTAGTTTTTCACTTTTTGTGTCTATTGCGCTTGCAGTTACATACCATAAATTAATTTTTTGACTGTTAGTATTCAGCAAACATACTGGATCTAAAATTTTTTCGGATAAAAAAAATATAACTTCAATTTTTGATTGATGATTGTTTGCGGTTAACATTGCCAAACTGAAATCATGTATTAAGGTGTTGTTTATACGTTTCTTCCCTTCATGCGACTAGAAACGGGTAGTATGCTTATTGTTTTTAGGTTATTGTTGAAAAGGCACCGAAAGCACGACTTCGTGATTTGGATAAGAAAAAGTATTTGGTACCGTCGGATTTAACGGTTGGGCAATTTTACTTCCTCATTAGAAAAAGGTTTGGTTTGCTCGAAATGGTTTTATAATTCTCGTATACTCTTAATAGTATCATGAAGCTTTTGATGAATGCAGAGTTAGTCTCTATACTCTCAGCTAAAATTGCTCAACTTTTACTTCAAGTTTTTCCTACAGATTCTTGAGTAATTTAGCTTCATTCTTCACTATTAGTTTTCAAACAATGTTGATGATTTTTTAAGGATACATTTACGTCCTGAGGACGCTCTATTTTTTTTCGTCAATAATGCTATCCCGCAAACGATGACTACGATGGGTCAGATATATCAGGTAAGAGCAACATGACATGTATTATGTACATGGACTTCAAGTTTAATCAAAAATAATGTTGGCTCAGTTGCAAAATATTTGTTAAAATCACAAATATACTATTTTGAAATGTCTTATGATCTTAGGATCTCTGTTCCAAGGTTTGCAGTCTTAATGATATGAAGTGAGCTGAGATGATTAAATTTCTTGACTCATACTTCGTGATTTCTGGCTACTTCATCTATTTTTCCATTCTTGTATTTAGTAGTAGAATCAAGTGCTATTGCTTACAATGAATATAAATTATGATTAAACTGTGATATGTTTATTAACAGGAAAACCACGAAGAAGATCTTTTCCTGTACATTGCTTACAGCGACGAGAGCGTTTATGGTTCTTTATGAATGGTCGGCATACGAAGCAGTATTTACTTGACTTTACGTTATTTTCCTTCCACATTTATCAGAAATATGATTTTCACATTAATAGTTTATACACACAGAAGCTCTAGTTTTTCGGTGGAACCTGAAGAGATGGGAAATAAGTATTGTTAATCATGTTTCAATTTTCGTTCAATACCAGGATTTGAAGATGATAAGACTGCGATGGTTGTAATTCTTGTATTAAAATTTTTTTAGTCTTAATTTTTAAAAGAGTCTTGAGATTTCTTGCATATTTTGAACTCTCATCTTGTATAGAAGCAGGTGGGAAAGATGAATTATCTTACTGTTCTAATATATACTCTGTACCTATCTTTTATAGTATTTCTTCGCAAATAATTGTGTCTGAAGTCTCAATTTAAGCAATGTTTTGTGTTAAGAAACTGGCATTTGTAAACTTTCATGGTTTCAAAAACAATTGATGGAATTGCTTTGGAAGTCATTTCTAGTTTTTTCAATACGAAAATATTCGACTGTGGGTTTTATCTTCGTATGCATTGTTTATATCACCCATAGTTTATGTAATCTAAACATAGAGTATTTAAGGTTTTACTTCGTTTGAATTGTTCATCTGTATTATATTTAAAGCACTACGCAATAATTTCCACTTTAATCTCTCTATAAATTATGTATGTAAGAGCTTGATAATTATTAATAAAACGTTGCATAAAATCAGCCTTTCTGTACTATCTCATGCTGTTCGGACAGCATTGCAGCGAGATATTTGCTTGGTTATTTTTGCTTAAGAAGGAAGTGTCGTGCTGTATCAATGTTGTTTTCGTTCAATTTACCCTTTCCTGTTGTACTCCTTCTTATAATACGCAGAATTAATCCACATGGGTTCACAGATTTATACTCGAGATATTTCGTGTACTTGTAGACAGCTCTTTCCTCATCTCTGTTAATTGATCATATTTTCCAGAATAATTTGTCTAGAACCAAAGTTCTGTTCGTTTTCTTTTGATGAAGTTCAGTTTGTATTTTATCGCTTTGAAAAAACTAAATACTGCTAGTGTGAGAAGTATGCTAATTTTTTGTTGCAATCCTTGCTCCAAACGCTGTTGTACATCTTCTTGTTAACTTAGTTTTCTAAATCTCCTTAAGGCCTGATTTTTATTTACTACTATTCATGTAAGTTATAGATATTCACTAAAAATAAGCTCGATTTCGGGCATTCTGTATGAGATTTCTTAGCAGTAATTTTCTACATGTTTTCATTTATATTTTGCAATGGAGGGAGCTTGGTGAAGCTGGAGTCTTCTGATGGTGCATGGCTTAGTCAGGAATCCTGTTTACGTTCTAGTACTTCAAGTGCTAGCATTGTGGTTATTGAGTTTGGTGGCATATGAAGTTGAGAAGTTGGTTCGACAGCAATGGATGCAGTTTTTGGAGTACTGCTTAGCCAGAAATAAATATTCTATTGATTAATAATTTGTAGGTGCTGAAAATTGAGCTAACAAGGAAGGATGACTCAACTGTTACTTGATCTAGATCTGAAAAAGGCTGATGGCACTGTTAAAAAAGCATCGGATGCGCTGGCTGTAATTGTTAAACATAATTTCGTACTAAATTCTCAGTGCTAAAAGTAACATTTAATCGTATTTACGGGCATATTACTATTAAACAGAAAAATTCTGGCACCCAAATAATGTTTCATAAATAATATTTCGTGTTTCAGGGCAAACGAATTGTGGCATTGTATTTCTCAGCACATTGGTGTCCACCTTGTCGACAATTTACTCCTATTTTAAAAGTAGCGTTTCATTGATGTTACTGTGAAGGAGATAGCAAATTTTACTTGTTTTAGTTTTCTGTATGAAATGTTTTAAAAATGTTAAGGAGTTTTACGAAGAGGTGGGTGATTCTGATATTGAAGTAATATTTGTCTCTTTCGATGAATCAGAGCAGGATTTAAATGATTATTTGAAAGAGTCACATGGAGATTGGTATCATATTCCATTTGGTTCGAGTGCGATCAAGTTAGTTTTAATTTTAACCTCGAGATCCAGAGTCATCATTGGTATCACATACCATTTTAGTTCATACATCATTTTTTAGCCTTAACTCGGTACTTATGGCATATCATACTTTTAGACTTACATTCATTTTGGCTTCACATCTTTTCAGTACTTTGAAACAAACATATGACGTGTCTGGTATTCCCATGCTTATTGTTGTAAGACCCAATGGTGATGTTGTTACTAAAAAAGGCAAAGCTGATGTTATGGTGAGTGATGCTCTGTTTCACGTGCTAGAAAAGAGATATTATTTTCGAGCACTTACATTATTTATGTGTTTGCTTTACAACCTTAATAGGAAATGCTTAAAAAGCATTGAGGAGTTTCTTTTCCTCTAGAACTTTCATACTTCTTCAAAAAATCAATATACTCACATGACCCCAGATTTATCACTTCCGTTCCAGTACAGTAAAATTACGACTACATTCTCAGTATCATTTTCTGTGTTAAAGAGAAGGATAGTTTTCATATATATGTATCTATTGAGGAACTTTTGGCTAAAAATAATGTAGTATGTATGGATTCATTAAACTGTGTATATTAATTATGTATAAAGTATTTTTTCAATGCATTTCAGGGCAAAGCGCCTAAGCAGACATTGTCAGGTTGGTTGGCAGCCGCAGGACACTAGTTGAAATGGATGATTTGTTTAATTTTTCGCCATTAATTCGCACTTTGCCAAGATCCATTATTATAACTTGTCAATTGTAACTTAGAAATACGATGTCTTTGCTTATTGATGTGGGTATTATTTTAAGTGGGAAATAAAGCAAGCATATGTGAAGCTATCAGAGGAACTCTTGACGATGTTTGCATGAAATAACTGTTACAATCAGTAGTGAATATAAATAAAGTTGAGCATTATGTGTGGGGAATTTGTGGGGAGTAATAATTTGGGTAAGTACATGAGAAAAGCATCTGTTTGACTTTCTGCGACTTCTCTAATTTTTGCGTTTGATAGTGGAGTCTTGGCAGCATCGGAAGCGGTGGCTAATGAGCACTCTCGTTGGGTTTGTTGATGCATCGGCGGCTCCCAAAGTAGAGTGGCTGAGACGTTCAGTCTTTGGTCTCATTTCCAATCTAACAGTTTACTATTGCAATTCAGCTAAAGTTTGGTCGCGTTGATATAACATCAAGATGCATGACTGCACTTATGGCTTCAAATATGTTCTTAGGGTTATCAGATCAAGTGGTCTGATATCCCGTCTGGTCATTTTGTTGTTCACTGTAATTCACTTGCAGTGATAGGTGAAATTTACAACAGTAAATTGGCACATTTCTATTGATAGGATAAACTGTAGGTTGTAATCTCATAGCACGATACGTTCTTGGCCGAAGGTAAGTTACGAATCATTGATTTTTGTGGGATGGTGCGTTGCGTAGTGTTCCAATACGATCAACTACGGGTGGATGACATCATCGTTGGTTGAGGGAGGTAACAGCAACATTTAGGGAGCCGACGGGAGGGGATTTAGTTTGTGGGAGATGCTTGCTAGTGGTTTGTTGGGGCATGGTCTTGGTTGAATTGTTCAGTTATGATCAGGTATAGCATGATTTGGTAGTAAAGGAAAGTATAATATAATGAGGCATGGTACAATAATAGTATTAGACAGGTGTTGCAGTTTGGTCCAAGTATGGTTCTGGAAGCTTCTCTTATGGGCAATGAGTAGTTTAAGTGACTTTTTACATATTTAGAACATTGTGTTTCCTCTGCTTTATCTTAAAGAACTTTTGACTCACAGTTTTTTAAAAGTGTACGGCTCCACAAATTGCCCAGTACTTTCACCATTCATTGTATAAGACTACAAGAATTTCCATCTAATGACTTTTTTTTGGCATATTTGCATCTAGCCTATGAGTCTTTCTGTCATATCTGTATGCATAAACGTGGTTTTCCAGTCGATCTCATCTAATTGTTTTGTATTACTTATATGCTTGTATATCTAATCTTTCCTTTTCAGTTAGCGCATTCTTTATCATTCATAATACATCTTGTGCCTCACTACAATTAACGATGTCAGTAAGTTTTACTTTTTTCTCGTTTTATTAAATTTTTTATTGGAAGAACGTTTTCATTTCATTAGAAATAGCAACTGAAAATTTAGTTGTGCAAGACATGAGATTCACAAGTGTTACATCTCATGATTATGAAATTTATGCATAGGTAGTAAGTTAAGAGGTAGCAGCAACGTAGTGCTTGCTTATTGATCTACCAACAGTCCATAGATAAAATCGTCACACTACTTGCAATTTTGACCCCCTCCATTCATGTGCTGAGTAGTGGTATGGGAGACCCATGTAATCGTTGTAGAAAGTAGCAATAAGGGGCATATGAAGTTGATTGTGACAGGCCACGGAAACATTGATTTAAGATGTCGAAAAGGCCTTCCGATGAACCTTGTGCCGATATTGCCAGTAAACGAGTACGTGAAGAGGTATGTATGTGTGTGTCAAGTAGATGTGACGTATGTTTCCTAAATTTCCTCGCCACAACTACATTCTCCTGTATTTGTCAGGCCCAACATTGAGCATGTTACTATTTTACTTATAACTTGATCCTCAAATTATATGGTATTTAGCCAAGAAAGGGGAAGGGTGTAAAGTAAGACAGTTTTGTTCGCGGTCTATTTACATTCTTTGCTTCGGTGTATTTCATTATATTCTTTATGGATTGTAGTTTATATTAATAAGCAGTAGTGGGATTCAGCAAATTATTATGGTTGTAATAAACAAAAGACACGATCATGCACTTCATAATAATTCAATATTGCGGAATTAGAAGTGAATTTATCTTGTGGTTATATAGTTCACTCCACTTTTACTTTATGTTTCAGAACAATTTATGTTTTCTCCTGCTATTAATTTGGGTTTTTCAGTTTAACTCGTATGGTTATGGAGCATATGGATACGGTCAACAAGTAGCTACTCCTTATGGACACGATGAGACGGGCATGATGCAAAATATGATGATTCAGGGAACCGGAAGTGGTGGTGGTGGTGGAGGTGGTACGTGTGGTAGCTCAGGAGGAGCCTACAATGCTCGTTATCATTTCCAAGCGGCACAGAATGCTGGATTTGACACTGGTAGTGAGGATCATCAACCACGAACTGTGTGAGTCTTTTTATTCTATATAAATTTTTTCGAGATGTAAAATTTTGTTTTTCATTTTGACGGATAAGTTCATGGGGGCTATGAGATTTATAAAGTTTGTTCCAGGTACGTTGGGAACTTAGATTCAAGTATAACGGAAGACTTTATTACTACCTTGTTTGGTCAGATTGGTGCTGTTACGAAAACCAAAGTCATCTTTGAAGTACGTATTGTTTTCCTCCGTAAGCGTCAAAATCTTATGTTTTGAGACTTGAGAAATGTGTACTCTTCTTTTTGTAACTTGTTATTGTTTACAATATCATTCACGTCCGCTTTGGTGGGTAGCGACGCTTTGTTCATTTTTTTATTCCTATTTTTCATACGTTTTCTTTTTCCTCGTTCATTCTCTTTGCGCTGTTTTGGTACATTCATCACTGTAAAGAGTTTTGAATTTTTCTCCTTTCAATAGAAAGAGAAAAACCGGACGTGATATGATATGTATGCAGATAATAAGGGATATATACACATGGCGTTGTTGGTAAGGACTGCTTGACGCTAATTGCTACTGCAACCACCACTGTTACTACTTTATTGCATATCTCACAAACAGGATGTGGATATGAAATGAACATGTGAATATTTGGAGAACAGGGAGAGTATCCTCAAGTTATTGCATTTACTCAGATTCTAATTCACAAACATGCCGGAGCATTTCGCGCTCTTTGGCTAAGTACCAATTTTTTTGAATTTGATTGTTTCATCATTTTCATTCTTTTTCTCTTATTGAATTCATTCAATTATCAAATTTCTTGCCTCTTGCATTTGTTTTAAACATCAAAATTTGTGTTCGTTAGGAAGGAAAATATCTTGAGACTGCATCACCCTACAAAATGATAAATACTGGCTCTGTACTGTTGAACAGTAACCTCAATTTCCTTTGGGAAGGAAAAGATAAAATGCACATGGTAGTAGTAGTAGTAGTAGTAATATAGGTTCAAGTAGGTCAGGGTACACAATTCACGGGATGCAGGTAAGTGTTATTTATACATGTGGAGCAATTCTTCTGCTTCTTTTCTTTTCTTCAGTTTTGTGAATGTTAGCTAGTGTTTGAGGAGAGAGACGGAGTCAGTGGCCAGTGGAATCATTTTACTTTTATGTTGCAGGGAACTAATGATCCTTATGCTTTTGTGGAATTTGCTGATCACTATACTGCTGCCCAAGCACTTCAAGCGATGAATAAACGTGTACTTCTAGAAAAGGTTTGGATTTTTTATGATATATGAAGACGTGCCTAGATAGTAGAAGGAACTAGATACATACTGCAAATGTAATATCTATTTGTTTTCATAATCATTATTTGCTTGAACTTAACCATGTGTAGTGATGTTAAGATTTATTAATAGGAGGCATTCTTAACACCACTATTATAGGACAATAAGTAGTCCCTAGTCCATTTGACAAAGTTGAGTATTGGAACAATTTGATATTTGTTTCACCAACATTACATATCTTATATTTTGTAACGGTCAAATTCAGGAGATGAAAGTCAATTGGGCGACAGAACCGGGATCACAGACGAAAGTTGATACCAGTAAACATTTCCATGTGTTCGTCGGCGATCTCTCTCCGGAAGTCGATAACAAAGCATTAAAAGATGCATTCGCTCCGTTTGGAGAAGTCTCGTAAGTCCTCTTGCCGAATTCAAGCAGTACAAGACATGTATAGAGCACTATAAAATCCATAGCGAGATATTTACAGGGATTTAATTCCAATAGTAGGAGCATATATATGCATAAAGATGGATGGATTTATTTTTGTCTTTATTTCAGAGATGCTAAAGTAATTAGAGATGCAACAACACTAAAGTCTAAAGGATATGGATTTGTTTCATATCCTAAAAGAGAGGTAAATTATCAGTTTCAAATTGATATTCGGTTCTTAAGAACTATTTCTATTAAACGGCTTTATCAATAAAGAGTTTGCCAGCTGTTTCAAATTTTTCGTTACATGAAGCATGCTTGTATTTGTGATTAGAAGTTCAGTTTGCTCTTGTTTCTTCGGTAATAAATATAGGAAGCAGTGTGGCTCTTTTTTTAAGAGATTTGCAATTATGACCATAAAGTATTATTTAGGAAGCAGAGAGAGCAATAGAACAAATGAATGGGCAGTGGCTGGGCCGTAGAACAATTCGTACTAACTGGGCAACTCGAAAACCAACTAGTACTGGAGCTGGTGATGGGCAGTATGGACGTACTGAATTAAACTACGAAGACGTGTACAATCAGACTGGGCCTGACAATACCTCTGTATATGTTGGGAATGTCAATTCTAATGCTAATGGTAGTCAGAATTTCTGAATCTTTGTAGCCACCATTCTCAATTGATAATGTTCTTTAATATGTTGGTAGTGAATGTAGAGGGCAAAGTGGCTTTTTTTTAAAAATAGAGTTGCAATTATTATCATAAGCACTTTCTAAGAGCCTGCCTGTGCTGCTTTTACATAAACCGTCTTGGTGCATTTACTAAGCATAATCACATGGTAGGTGTCATGTAAGTGCTATAGTAAACTTTAGTAGCATGAATCTCTCACACTCTCATGTTCTTGGGATTTTGGTGCTTGTTTGTGCTCGAACATCTATAAAGTAGTTACAAATTGAGAAATAGGTTGAAAAAAAGAAAGTGATTGCATATTTCGATATGTCATTGTTTTTTATTTTTAGTCTGTAAGGTCTGGATATTGTTTTTGTTTACCAAGTACTTACTTTATGCTGTTTTTTAAGATGAAGATTTACGAGCGGCATTTGATAAATTTGGACGTATTTTGGAAGTTCGTATTTTCAAATCACAGGGTTACGCATTCGTACGTTTTGACAAAAAAGACTCCGCATGTAATGCTATTTGCAAGATGAATGGACAAGAACTTTGCGGTCAAAACATAAAGTGTTCCTGGGGTCGAACACCTGAGGTACGGAACGTGGGATTTCTTAATATTTCAGTAGAATCATTTACGTTATTTTCTCCTACTCTTATATGAGATTGATCTTTGAGTAATTACCTATATTTTGACTCTGAATATTCGGTGTAGCGCAGAATTGCTTTTATTTTTATAGAGAATGAATAATACAGGACGATAATCATTGTACTTGAATTCAAACGAATTAGAATGTGGTATTGAAATTATGTTTTCGCAATATGATCGATTTTCAGGGTCATAATACACAGGCCAATGCTTACAATCAAGCTCAAGCGTATGCAAATTATGGGGGGTACGGTGCATACGGTTATGGTAATGGCACACCCGGAGGGCCAGGTAGTACTGCTGCGGCACAGCAGCAGTACTGGAATTATTATCAGCAGTACTATAGCAATCCACAGCTTGTTCAACAGCAGTGGCAGAGGTGAATTAGGATATAGGATTTCTGGTTTCATTTTTCAAATTTGATTTCTATGATCCGCTTTTGAGTTGTAGAAAAGTAGCATGGGGCGAAAAAAATTTTTATTTCAAATTCTTGTTAATTGCTATAGCAAGCTTGTCATTACAGTAATCCCTTCAGCTTTTATTATTTTTTCAGCTATTCATTCAGTTATGTTTCAGCTATTGGCAGCAACAACAGCCCCAAGGTGGAACTCAGTAGGACTAGTAATATAGAAGCCATAGAGGCAGATTTTGACTTTTCATTTTATTACATATTCTTTATGTCAATTTCTGGAATTAAAAAACAATCCATTGTTGTTTCATATAACTATTTCGTGATTTACTAATTACATCCTAACTTCGTCGTGCTTCTGTTAGTCGAAGTTTCTTACAATCAGTAACTTGTGCTTTATTCTTTTAATGTTCTTGACTTAACTTTTCATTTTCTTACAGCATTGACTAAGATACTTGGTCACATGATTCAAAGATTGGTATCTGTTGTGATTTGTTTTATAACTATTTTCTAATTCCCGAAGTAACGCATAATGTGCGTGGTTTTATGTTTTATCAAAAGTCAGTGATAGACTTTTTTTTTCTTGTCATTTCAAAATATGAACTCCGCGCAGTCACTGTTCTCTTAAAGCGATGACTGATTAATTGCCTAATGGGGTCCTTGTTGGTAACGGACATATGAAGTTTTGTTAGAATGTGTTTTTGTTTTGTGTGCAAACAAGTATGATTGCTGTTATCTTCTTTGGAGTTTCGTTTCTATTAATAAACGCGGTGTGAGTAATTCCACAAACTGGCAACATATTTTTATTGGAGCATAAGTTAGAGTTTACCATGGCAAACTCGGTGGTTGGTATTTCACTTTAAAGGGTGTGAGTAGGTCGTATGGAGGATAATCTTCTTGTACGGTATTTCTTTTCCCGATTTGTGCTAGTTCAACATGATATTCTATCGAAGGTCATGACTACTATTGAAGTGGTTAGTGATCAATGATTGTAGAATATTGAGATGAGTCAACTTTGCGAAGTTTGGGACTAATTTCAATGAAATAATTGCAGTATGTGATGATCACCGCAGAAATGTGATGGCCAAAGCCAAACTGATATGTAATACATGTCGAGTATGAGATGTCTCACTCATT